AATTTTTGGATCTAGCTGCTCTCAGGGGCCAGCTATAGGGGTGATCCGCTTTTGTGGCCTGTTATCTTTTAACTATCGATGCATTTAGATAAACGGTGCTAAGCAACTTAGACTGGGGGGACATGTCTCAGTCGTCTGTTTGGTGTGCATGTACTACCCATGACACCAACTCAATTTGATCAAAATATATTATGGCCTTCTAAACTTGATTTCTATCTCAATCAAATGCTCTGTTCACATCAGAGTAGATCGTGGTTCTTGAATGCCCATGGTAGTTCAGATTTGGCAGGTCAGAAATATGCACATTCATTAATTCTGACATTAGCAATCCAGCTGAAAGATCATGGATGTTGCTGCATTTAAGGATTAATCAGTCACATCATATCCTCCTTTCAGGTGTTAGTCATAAGAGCTTATTTATGGTTGTGCACTTAACATGCTTGAAAAATAGATGGGACTTGTCGTCCTAGGGTTATCCAAGATTAGATTATTATGGTTTAATCATGCTAAATCATGTCTTTATGCCGAGAGATGCTGATTGTCCTAGTCCTGCTGACTTGGCACTATGACACCCTTCTAATAAGTCAATAATTCCAACAAAATTTGCCGCATGAAATTACCTGGTGCGGGATTAAAAGACAATCAAATGCCACTCAAGAATATCTGGCACTGCTATCGCTTGTCTTGCAATATGCTTTTCTATTTATTAAACGTTTCTTGAGTTATAAAACCAATTTTCTTTGATCTGATCATATACTGAGCAAAACACTGTTGCTCGAGTCTGTCTAATTCACTTCTCCATGTTGCCAGGAAAGTAGGAGTTCTGAGAGGGTAAATTGTAAGATCAGCTACTTATCTAGTTATCCGCTGAAAAGTGTTAGAACAGATCCTGTCGAGCATCAAGCTTCTGTCCCTGAGTGGAAAAATGCTCCATCTGTGGAATATACTGATGATTACAAAGCTGCAACCTTACCAAAACTGGGCACAGTTGTCTATCCACTAAACATGGATATCTCAGCAACTAACAAATCAGAGAAGAAGAGGAAAAGATTGGTAGACAAGTGTAAGTGTTCTTGTCCTGGATCTGAGGACTGTGTACGAGTTCACGTAAAGAAGGCAAGGAGCTGGATCAAGGATCAGTTGGGTGAGGAAGCTTTCAAAAACTGTGGGCTAGATGCAATGGGTGAGCAAGTTGGAGAGCAATGGACCACAGTTTTCAAAAGGAAACTTGAAAAAGTTGACAAGTTGATTCCTCAGAATAAACATCAGAAATTCATGGGGATTGCCTTGAAGGAGCTCGGACAGAAGGAAACAAAGGATTTGGCGAAGTATTACTACAATGTTTTTCTTCCCAGAAGATTGGCAAGCTTGACCAGGGCAGAGCATAAAAAGGACGAAGCTGTTGATACGAGTGATGAAAAGAGTGATCAAGAGGATGACGAGAATGAACAACATCCTCGAAAGAAAAGTAAAAAAAGCTCTGGATCCTCTTCCACAAGGTATTAACATTACATGATGCTTCTGAAGATCTTTTTTACTTTCTGCAACATATGCCTGTTATTACTATCTCGGATGTTATCATTTCGCACAATGCTTGAGCAATTAGTAAGAAGTCGAAGGGGTGTCTCTGGTGAAAATCATTTTACTCTCTGCAACATATGCTTGTCACCACTCTCTCAGATGTTACCATTTGTCACAATGCTTGAGCAAATACCGAGTCAAAGGGGTCTTGGAAGTGCTAAATTACTATTCCATTACTGTCTTCTGAAATAATTACCTGCATTTTTTTTGCACAATCCTGTCGGCATGTACACATTAATTACTTATGCATTTCTTTGTTGTTGGAGAGTTTGTTATGGAAAGAAATCAGGCACTAGTCTACTTTGAAAGTCAAGAAATAATCCATGTCCACTCTATTCCCATTTAGCTACCGAATATTTACCATTGCTCTTTGCTAGTGTGGTAATTTAGCTAACTTAGAATCACCTCCTTTGACAGGTGCAAGAAGTAGAAGAGTCAGAGGAATTCGACGGGTGGGCCAACAGTTACGTTGCAGTGGAAGAAGAATTAACAGTTTTGTTGCAGTGGAAGAGGAATTAACAGTTTTACTGCAGTAGAAGAAGAATTAGGAAACTTGAGAAAGCAGGTTGATGTGATAAGAGTTTGCAGTGGATCAAGACTGATATCCGGACCCATGCAGTCGCAGATCACCAGCGGTCGTATAAGTATGAGATTCTTACCATAGTTACCGGTGATGGGCATCCTAAGCAGGTTTCACCGTCACCACAACATTTGATGTAAACATGTGTTCATGAGTTCGCTTCATTTTTTATTTGTTGTTGATGTAATGTGCATGGCACAAAGGAGAGAAGGGAGGTGATATATGGGGAGTGGGCATAGAGCCTGTCCAGAAATGCATTTAGGTATTCTTTTGGTTTGTCCTGAAACTTAAATCTGCAGATGTGGGTTGTTCTGTTGGTCTTATAATTACGGTTTTTTTGTCTGTTTCAAAAAAAAAAATTACGGATTTTTGGGGAATGTCACATACATGCTTGAGTTTGGATCATGATATGATTCTCATCTAGGGTTTCTTCAGTACTGTGGACTTGTAGATTAGTGATAGTGGTGTGTTTATTTCTTCTCTGGTGATTGATGAATACAAACAGTCAGATAACTAGCAGTCTACACAAACTTTTTTCCTTGTTCTTTTACTTTTTTTTTCGGTTTCATTTCCACTCTTTTTTTTTTGCTTTCCTTTCCTAGGCGAGAAAACACGTGAACACCTTTTTCAAAGGAAAATGATTAGAATCATCTGGCCGATTCTACGTCTCACGTCCGTCGAGTCGAGAGCCAACCATGTGGTGGATCAGTTCCACGCACCAAAAGTCATAAGATTCTGCAACATCGCCCATGTATCGGAAACATGGGGAGTGTTGCAGTGACAACACAACGGTGTGATGATGCGGGCAAAAAAAAAAAATTCTGCAACGTAATCTCTGCTGTGAAAAATTCTGCAACAGAACCTATATTACAAAGATCTTTTGCAACATTTTGCAGAAAAAACGGCAACACAACCTATGTTGCTAAAGTGAAGGACGATGCTAGGCGTTAGATTATGCGAAATCTGACTCTGCGAAATCTGACGGTTCAAAGGCGGCGAATCATTTTAAATGACCAGTCAGCCGACGCGTAGCACGTCCCTTTTTCAAAATCACATGAATATATTTTCTAACATATGGAAACAACCATTCTCATTTTTTTTTCAAATACATTTTTTAAAAAACAGACCATCCAGGACTAGCCTTTGGAGGCATAATTTTTATAGAAGAAGTCTCCAAGCACTATGCGCATCTCCCCAGGCCTCGAGCGCGGGTGGGCTAGCTCCCTCCTTGCGAGCCTAGCAGGGTGACACCCAGTTCTCAAAATTGAGAATGGACATTTTTTTCAAACACATTTTAAAAGTTTCATGTGCATGAATATTTTTGGAATATGAGATGGACATTGTATTCATATATATATATATATATATATATATATGAACGTGTACATGCATGTATGTGAATATTTATATTTTCTATATGCAATTTTGTTTTTCGTTATTTAGTTGATTTTCATTTTTTAACAAAAAATATTAAATAGTAGTACGAGTTAATGGGCCCGTCCATTACGAAATCATTCGGGCGTCGCCCCCCTTGTAGGCCTGCCTGTACACCGGCTTGAGTCGCGGCTGTTCGCTCAAAGAGTAAGAAAAAACTTCCTCGCTCGTCTCCGTCTCTCCGACGCCTTTGGATCTCGCCGCCGCCCGCGTCGCCATCGTGCCTCCTCGCCGCTGCGAAGGTACAGCTCCTCGTCGCCCCCTTGTTCCCACCCCTCTCTCGCTCTCGTCCGCGGGCGCGTATGGGAGAGCAGGGGCTGCTCCTGCCCTCATCCTCCGCCCATCTCCCCCCTTACCTGAATCCTTCATTATTAACTTGATTTTGGGGTATGGTACGAACAGAGGAGGGGCCGCGCTCCCGCACGAACGAAGGAGCCAGGGTTCTCCGCCGCAGCCGTCCCTCCGGCGAACCTCCAGTCCGCGCCGCCGCCCCCCGGAGCAGCGCTCGTCTGCCGGCCCAGGTACTCCCTCCTCCCCCCTTCCTCCCCCCTCTCCCTGCATCGGCCGGATCTGCTGGCTCGCTGCAAGCCGCGCCGCCTCTATGTTGTCCTAATTGCAGTGTATGTCCTATAAATTTTGTGCAGTATATGAATTGCTGTGTATGTCCTATAAATTTTGTGCAGTATATGAATTGCTGTGTATGTCCTCTAAAAAACACTGCAGGCAGTGATCCTCTTGTATGATTATATATGTTTGCAGTGGATGTTGTGTATGGAAACGCGATGATTATTTCCTATGTGCTGAATATTGCGAGATTATATTGCGTAATGGAGTTTGCTTGGAAGGTGTTTGTGGAAATGTTTGTATGAAAATAATTGACAGTGATGACAGCGTACATGGCCATTAGAAATGTGGAAGCGTACAGCTTAGGAGGCTTGTAAGATAATCTGTTTCTTCCTGTTATTGTTATGTTGTTAACATCTTCCTGGTAAAATTGACCAATGTACAGATCACTGCTTTATGGTCAATTTTCATATAAACATATTCACTCAGGCCCCAGAGGCATTACAGACAATTCACAGCCAAATCTCAATTTCACACTTCTCTCAACCAAACACCTTCCAGCTTTTCCACAGCTGGAAGTTCCACAGCAGCCTTTTCAGAATCCACAGCTGAACCAAACACAGCCTCACTTAGTTTACATGTAGTAGTTTGGATCAGATCGACGTTCCACTCTTAATTGTGCATGACCAAATCAAATATATGGCATCAGCTTGAACGACGGATTATGCATTTCACTGGATATCAACAATCGTATAAGTAGGTTGTACATAAGGCAGTGTAGTTAGCATTTCTTTATTTGTAGCTTTTGTATCGCTATGATATCCAAGTTAAAGTTATCTGTATGAACAATTTCAGTTCCGAACAAGTTAGGTGGCCAGTTCCTTGGTTAGTCCTATATTATTTCTACACGTACCGAACTTTCATTTGTCGATCTGATGTATATCTTTCTATCTACATCTGATACAGGAATTTAGCTGTTAATTCTGCTCAGCCTTCTCCTGTGGCCATGGGGACAGTTGCAATCTACAGCCTTTTCATCATCAACAAGTCTGGTGGCCTTATATACTACAAGGTATCTTCTTTGTACTTCTCTTCCTCTTCTACTCTGTAGAGATCTAGAGATAGAGTCTGAACAACATGCGCATCTCCCCAGGACTATGGCTCAGCTGGGAGAATGGACACCAACGACAGTTTGCGCCTCGCGAGTCTCTGGCACTCGATGCACGCAATCTCGCAGCAGCTGTCCCCTACCACAGGCTGTACTGGCATTGACCTCTTACAAGCCCACAACTTCGACCTCCATTGCTTCCAGTCCCTCACAGGTCTTCACTTCCCCTTAAGTTGTGTGCAAACGTGCTTGATAATGATAAATCCTCACTACACGCTTATACTAGTGGGTTTCTGTACCTTTTGGGTTGTAGCGAATAATGCTTTAGTAGTGGATCTTGGCAAGTTAAGCAGTACAAGCTGTGGTTTTACTTTCATTTACTAATTCACAAATGATCCCTTAAACTTGCAGAAATTTGTCTGCGACCTTCGCTAAATGTTTGAAAATAATCTCATGAAAATACAAATGATTAACAACACATGTGTATTCTCCATTATCTGCAGAAGTTGTGTTTTGAGCACAACACGTGCATATTAACTTAAGTGGTGTCATTGAGTTCGGTAACTTTATGTTGCTCTTTTATTTACCATCTAGGAGAAGCAAAACCTGTCATTCATTGGACTTGTAGGCCATAACCATTTCCTTGGTGAATGATGTTCATTAAATGTTATGTACTAACCTATGTTTTTAAGGCGGTAAGGCGAGGCGAGGCGCTGGGGGGGCGCCTCACTGCCTAAGCGGTAAGGCATAAGGCGAGGCGACGCCTTAGACACATACATATATAATAGATGGCAGCCAATTAGGAGATTTAACTACTAGCATTGACATCATAAATTGTACATACATATATAACAGATGGCAGCCATTTAGGAAATTTAACAACTAACAGTAACATAATTAGTTGTTGCCAAATCATAGGCCTCAAATCATCTTCTGTATATGACAGAACGGCACCTTTGAACTTCAGCTTCATCCTTCTCATCAATATATCACTCCATAGCTTTAAACTTTCTAGTGTTTAAGGATTTGCGCATCTCTATCCTAATCTCCATAGATGCCTCGGGACACATATCTGCATCACTACAACCCCCAGAAAGGTGCTGCTTCAGCCTTCTCACTCCAGCATGGATTATCTTGCCACACAATGTACACTGGAGTAAATCTTTCCTCTCTAAATCTGGCCAGAACCCATACTTCCAAACTGGATCATCTGATGTAGCTCTTCTCCTAGCATCCATCAGAGCAGGGACACCTCGCTGCTGCGGCAACACTGAGAAAAGACCCAATCAACCGTCAAAGAGAGAAGAGCCAAATCACTAGAGCAAGCAGACAAGCATGGGAAAAGAGAGAAGCGATGGTGGGGTTGCTGCCTTGTGGATGGAGAACCAGATTTGCGAGCAAACAGATGCAGAGGAGGAGCAGGCAAGTAGCCAAGCACATCTACAGATCTACCTACAATGCAGGAAGAAACAGAGTACTAGGAGGGGTAGAAGAAAATTAAGAGGAGGCCGGGGTAGAAGTGAGATGAGAACGGGAGCCACACCTTGCTGTTGCGCCAGAGTTGGAGGGAGAGCTGAGCCCCGCGAGGAGAGGCACAGATCGGAGCTGTAGAGGAAGGAGCCGCCGCCAAAGGTCAGAGAGGAGAGAAGGAAACCATATCGGGTAGATTGGACGATTGGTTCGATCCTCTCTGTCTCGCCCTTCGCCTTATACCTGTTCGCACTCGCGCGCGAGCCCAATATTTCCAGCGAAAGCCCGCGAAAGCTTCCCGCGTGGGCCACTCTTTCCCGCCTGGAAGCAGCCCATGGCGTCCGATCTGGCCCAAGGCGCCGCTCTACGCGCCTAGGCGGACGATTCAGACGCCCTAGGATCTAAAGCGGACGCTTTACGACGATGTGTAAGGCAGGTTCGACGCCTTGCCATCGGAGGGCGCCCCGATGCTAAGGCGTCGCCTAAGCGATGCTTCACAGACGCCTTAAAAACAGAGGTACTAACATAACTCAGCTCATATCATCTGATTTGTCAATGACTTAAAAGTTTATTTCTATCCACGTCATGCTAGAGTAGATGTCTAACCATGGATTACGAGTCGAACGACTAGTCTAGACTAGTCGCTCGACTAGTCTACGAGTCGCACTCCAGCTGTCGACTCCTTTTCTCTTGTAGACTACAAATACGAGTCGAGCCGTCGAAGGACTAACCGACGACTAGTCTGGACTAGTCGTGCATCTTGAGTCGTTCGACTCAAAAAAAAAATTCCAGGCTTGCTCCAGAGAGAGCTGCCTCAGCTGGGACGAGGTGCCGCCAGCACCCACTGGCCTGCCACCGCTGCCGCCACCCACCGCTGGGACGGCGGATGGCGCAGCCGGCCGGAGCTCGTGCTCAGGCGGCGGCCATGGCCGTGACCCGTAGGCGCGCGCGGCCTTGAGACGAGAGAGGAGGAAGAGAGAGAGGGGGGAGAGGAAAGGAGGAGGCATGGCGATGGTCGGCGGGCTCGCCGGCGGCAGCGGCCGAGGCCGGCGGAAGGCGGCAGGAGGCGCGGGTCGCGTGCGCGCGTGCTTCGTGCGTGATGGCGCTGGCGGCGGCGATTGGGTAGATCGAGAGCTAGGGTTCCAGTGGTTGGGGGACTAAGTAGGCTGGCCACTTGGGCCAAATGGGCCAGCTGGTGGGTGGGGGGCGTGCTGCACGGTGCTGAGCTGGGCTGGGCCTGACAAGTGTTGACTAGCACTGCTGGTTTTATTGTGTATATACTGTAATGTGCTGTACAGTTTACTACATACTGCTACTAGGTATTAGTAGTTGAGTACTACAGTACTATGTCGACTAGTCTAGCACTAGTCTAAGACTAGTCCGATTAGTCTATGAGTCTCAACCTCGGAATGACTCGTCGACTCGTAATCCTTGTGTCTAACCCACAAAACTATAAGCAGTAGAAGAACTCAACTGATCAATCTAATTGCATCTGCTCTGGACTTGATCCTGGCGGGTATATGTGATATTTGTTTTTTGGGGGGTATATATATATATATATATATATATATATATATATAGGGTCGCGCTATTTGTCACCCTGGGTGAGGAATTCTTATTCCTCACCCCAGTACACCCCTACGCCACACTAATCCAAAGCATGCGAAGTAAACTTACGGCATGGACAAGAAAGCAGACCCGCACGAAGTATCGTGAGGTAATTTTATGGCGAAGAGGTGGCGAACCAGACCAGCGCCCATCACAGCCAACACAAAAGCGACAATGTAAATTTACCTCACACAGTTACGGTCATGGATCAGCATGCTTGCCTTGACTCCACGATGTGCCTCCAGCCGTTGATGCAGGTAGGTCAGATAGGTTATGCCCGTGCACTTACGGAATGGATTGATTACAAATCGATAGACACCTTTTCCAAAATGACAGCTAGCTTGGACTTATAAAGCTAGAAATGTAGTTTACGTCCATGGGTCAGGAAGTTCATCTTACAAAAAACTGGACCCGCTTATGTTAGTATAATACTACTATTATATTTCAGGTCTGCTCAATACACATAGAGACGGTGTTCCTGATATTGGGCGTATTTTATACCAGGTCTCCTACTAACATACCAGGTCTCTTGCAAAATAAAAGACCCACCTCGCCTTGTAAAAAAAAGACATCCCTTGTTTTTGGTAGTTCAATCAGACAGTCGAAAGCTAGTAGAATATTCTTCTCCAAGGGGCAACAACTTGTTGAGATTGAATAAATGTTACTAGTAAATATGGCAAAATCAAAGTTAATGCCAACAAGTTTCTTGTCAAAAATTTCATATCAAAGGGATGCATGTTGCGCGGTTATAGCGGCAATACAGATGAGTGGCTCCATTCTCAATGCTAAAATGCATTCAGTTGATAAGGATTCCCCAAAAGTTGGGGCAATATGTGAAATTACATCAGTATACTTGCAAACAGACAGATCACACACTGTAATTTTGCTAATGGAGAGACCTTCAGCTCTGATCCTGAAGTTAATACTCTTCATCTGCTCCCTAACAATGTAGTTATGCCCAACCTTTCCGGTCACACACATGGATCAGGGACTAATTACATGCCACAATTACAACATGAGCACGAGCTTCAGCAAACAAACAGGGCGAAAGACAGAAAATGTGTTGACTGCATAACCTGTACAGAAGACATTTGTACTACAGTAATGTCCCTACGATCTACATACTAAAAATATAGCAAACATCCTGGCAATTAGATTATAAAACAGAACAACAAAGACACTGGGGTATATACTGCCAATCAAACTCAATTAGCAACGAAATCGAGCCAACTAATTTAAATGGGTAAAAAAGGGTTTGATTATGGTAACCAAAACACAAGGTAATGGTGGCTCCCTGCTTGAGGTCGGTGAAACATTGGGGCATGCCATTTATACGGCCATCTCCATCTGCAAGGGAGAACGACGAGACGACCACCAAGAAAGTCAAAGTGTTACTGGGATATGGAGGATACTTCTTCCCAGAAACCATATGGTAGGTACCAGACACAACAAATAAATGAAAAAAAATAGAAGCTACTATTCAACAACAACAAAATCTCGTCCTAACTTCTGCAATAACAAGTTCAGTTTGAATGTGAAATTTTAGCCGACGACGGTAAGAAACATTAATATGAATAGCTGAGGAACATATCCCTTCAGAAGTAAATGTCATCAAATAAGATTACTAAAATGATTATCACAGTTACAGTTATGTCACTTGGTCTGCCCTACCTGAAGTCATTATCTGAGGCTACAAGGAGATGGTTGCAGGAGGCACTTAGATAAAGACAACGTCTTCCCCTCCGACCAACACGGAATCCGCTGCCTTCAGTCCGTCCTCGTTTTGCCATTGTTCTTCCTACCATGTACCGATTATCCACGACAGGCCTGACAAGCGACGAGTCAGCTGAAGCACCACACAGAAGTACATCTGATTCATCAGGAAGCTACTTTTCTGTTTGAGAAAATCATGTGATAAACTCATAAACATGTTAACTCACTTGTACTGCTGCTCACACATAGAACATGAGAACTATCACATATAAACCTCCAAAACTAGCAACAACTTTCTCCAGCGTCTATTGCCAAAATCGAAGCTTCTCTTCTAGATCGTGCAATAAATGCAACTAAAATATAAAGAGTAATTTGCGCTGATTGAAGTACACAAGTACCATAGTACAAAATCCATTGCAGCTCCTGCTCCACTTGTGCCGCTATGTATAAATCAAATAAACCTCCAAGTAAGCAATTCAACAAGCAAGGCATGAACACAAAACAGAAATGAATATATAGTTCAGTAGTTCTACGAATTAACCAGATAGTGGAATCCTAATCATATTTTTGAAATACAAATAGATCAAACAAATAAGGACATTGCTGGAGTTATAGGAGGTTAAAAAAGAAATGAGAGGATGAGAAATCAGGGCTCACCTGAAGCAACAGAGGTGAAAGCTGCAGACCAAGAAAGGATGCCCCTGCCTCTCCCGGCAAGGAGCATGCCTTCGTGAGGCACCGACCTCAAATCTGTCTCTGGAATCTCCTGCCTTTGTTGGTTAGCCATCTAAGTACAAATTAAACCAAAAAATATAATCATATAAAGGAGATTACTTTCCAATAGTCACTGGCAAAATACAGCCATGACACACCTATTATATGTGTGCATCCACCTGTCGGAGTGATAATCACTAAAAGGAAGTAGGAAATAACCAAGTAGCTGTATTACTGCTAAAAGGTGAATATAGTTAATTAGGCTTCTGTAACCAATCGCAAGAAACAAATATGTTTGCACCCTGTTGCTGATTCGCGGAATAAAAAACGTACTTGATCAATACTAGTACAAAAATAAATATGCAAACAAACTAATCTGCAAAAAATGGGAGTCAAATTAAGATTGATGGGAGGACCCCAGGGATATTTGTGGAGATGGATGATTGGCTCTTGTAGGTATTCTGTCAAACAGGTTGTGAGCAAAACAGTCTGGTACAAATTCAAAGAAATTATGGAGGGAGCAGACGTGCTAGATTGATTTCTAAAAATATGCAATGACATATGAGTGATGGCAGGGCTATCTCACCTCCGAAAAGGGATCTGAATCCTGTCTCGCCTGGCTCCAAGGGCTATCTCACAGCAGGGGCCACACAGACCACAACTCCATATGATGAGGGTCGACATGGTGGGGAGGGATCTTGGCGCTCGCGTCAATGAAGACGTCCATGGGGAAGAAGTTGGGCTGCTTGGAGCGATCCATATGGAGGCTACGAGCATGAGGTCGTAGCCTTCTCCTCTTCTGTAGGGTCACCGCCGACTGGAGGTGGCGTCCACCTCCGGGGAAGATGCCAATTTTGAGCGGGCTTAGGGAGCTCCCCGAAGATTGATCCTCGTCGTCGACCGGCTCTTGAACCGACGGCAGTCCAAGCTGACGGCCACCACGCCGTCGTGCCCAGCGACCACTCACCGAACCACCATGAACAACCGCTGCTACACACGCACAATCAAGCTGCCCGCCCCCGAACTGCTGTCGAAACTGCCATGGGGATCAGACCTAGTAAAAAAAGGAGAAATTACGTCCATACTGAACGAAATTTACCTCGCTCATGGGGTTAGCGGTTGAGGCACACTGCGCTGGTGCGATCGGGCCTAAAGGAAAAATATGACTCGGTGGATGGACCAGGGTGCCCTGGGTGTCTAATAGAGTTTCTTTATATATATATATATATATATATATATATATATATATGTGTGTGTGTGTGTGTGAAATTTGTTGTATGTTCCTTCAACAGAAAGTACTGCAGGGCCTCCTTGTGCTAGCTACTTTAGTTGCTAGGTCATGAAAAGAGTTTGACACATAAGTATAAAACTTCCTTCCTTGGTACACATCAATATATCACTTATGTACTGTTATTTTGATGCTTCAATCATAATAATGACGCTAGTAGCTTTGCCCACTGAACTCTGTTGTGTGACTGTTTGCCATTGGCGTGGGCACCCCTTCAATAAATTTCCTTCTGATGGGAATTAGTTTCTTAGGGGCTTAAGCACCATTCCTGCCGAAGGGGCAGCATAACCCATATGATGAAGCAATTAAATAGCCAGAAATAATTTTACACTATATACCATCCGTTGCATGATAAGGATTAGTCCTTGCTGTCTGATAGGTGAGGCCGAGTGCCCTATTCCTGGTCTTTGTATCCTCAGCAACCGCAGCACACGGCACTGTGTTCTGTAGGACTAGGACATGCACCAGTGAATAAGTGTGGTAGTTTATATTTACTGCCAAAAAAATGGAAGTGCTGGCTGTTGGGTTATGTTACTCCCTCCGATCCATATTAACTGTGGCTGCTTTGGTATAAAGTTGTACTAAAGCAGTGACAATTGATATGGATCGGAGGGACTACCAATTTATTCGAATGCAAAAGTGAATATGGGGCCTATACCCAGTGCTAATTTATCCTGTTATTTTGTTAATTTTATTTGGTTGGAATTTGATCTAGGTAGTGATCCAAGACTTTGGAAAGTGGTATAGTACTCCCTCTGTTCACTTTTATAAGGCTTTGTAGACATTTCAGACATTGTGCAAAACAGCTCAATTTCACTTGTCTGAAACGACTTATAAAAGTGAACGGAGGGAGTATTAAAAATGATGATCAATATGAGAAAGTAGATATTCTAAAATTGGAAGTATGGTGACGCCCTTCAGTTTTTCTCTCTTTTGTCAGCTTGTGTTGATACTAGTAAATGGTATGAATCTTGTTTGAAATCAGCATGGCCTAACTATGCCCATAAACTGTGGATTGGTTTCTTTAACTGTTAACTGTGTCATTTTATGCCTTGGCATTGTCTATGTCTAGTTACTGACCTGGCTGGTTGCTTGGCATGCCCCAGGGACGAAATTTTTCGTTGTATGCGAGACAGGCACTCAAAATATGGAAATCCTGCTGAAAACGATATATGAGCTGTACACAGAGTTTGTTTTGAAGAACCCGTTCTACGAGATGGAGATGCCAATCCGGTGTGAGCTCTTTGACCTCAACCTAGCCCATGTCATCCAGAAGGACCGTGTCGCACTTCTGGGCCGGTGAAACATGAAAGGAACATACGGAGCACCGACTCTTGCAATTTCGTGTTTGTTTTTCTACCATATTTGTATTTGGTCACCTAGAACATGTTTCCTCTTGAAAGTGATTCTGGCTGATAACATGAATGCGGTACAGACTTCCATATCTGTAAATCTGATATACAATGCTGGGTTACAGCATTTTGAGGACAGAAGATGTGTGTAGACTTTGACATTGCTCAGTTTGAATTTGCATGTCTCCATGATTTGAACAAGATTATGTGTTGGTGGCCATGTGGGTAAATAACCTGCATTCTGGTTTTGGATCCTCAAATACTGTAACCAGAATGCAGGTTATTTACCCACATGGCCATGTGGGTAAATAACCTGCATTCTGGTTTTGGATCCTCAAATACAGAAATGTTGTATGCTGGCTGTCTTTTTGCGGGCATCCAGTCCACTGCCATGTACACGCCAGACACCTTGGACCCACCCGAAAACCTCTCCTGTGCCCGAGCTCTCTTCCACGTGAAGCGGTCACCGCAAATGCATGCCGGTCAGTGCCCGCTCCAGAGTGCCAATTTCGCATTCATGCCGGCCCAGAGCGGATGCAACCTCTCATTGGAGCTGGCACTGAAGTCGCGCGGTGTTTTTTTTAGATTTTTTGAGTAACTTTTTTCCTTTAGACTTTTTTTTGAGGCAATCTCACAAAGCTTTTATTAAATCGTCATAACGTTTACAGGGACGAATAAGATATCACCGGGTTGGCCTAACCAAGCAGCACGACCAACCCCTAAAGTTTCCTTTAGATGGTGACGTGTTCTAGTATGCAACTCAAACTTGGCCCAATGGACACCTTGACCAACGGGCCGACACTGTGTACGTAAGGCCCCAACCATATCTTCTTTTCCTCTTCTAAAAAAATCCTAAATAGCGCTATGTATACCTGCACTAGAGGGCCTCTTTGATTCACAGGATTGCAAAATCCAAAAACACAATATTGGGATCTTCTACTAAGCTCCCCTACATTAGAAGCCTTCTAGCGCGTCGGGAGCTGTCAGGTTATTATGGGCCCCTTTTGCAAGGGTTTGCGTCGCGGTTGAGAGTAACACACACCAAGCCGTAATGAACAGGCTGATTTTTCCAGTTTTGAGAAGATATTACTTGGTTTTTGTTTTTGTTTCTTTTTTGTGTTTTTCTATTGGTTTTCATTATTTTTCTTTTTTCTTTTTACTATTTTTTATTTTTGTGCTTGTTTTTCTTTCTTTTATCTTTTACTATTTAATACATGGCTATTTCGTTAAAAGTAAAAGAACATTTAAAAACGATTTAAAAAATCCACAAATATTTTTGGAATTCATGATTTATTATAATCTTTTAAAGTTCATGAACATTTTTAAGTATGCAATTTATTTTTAAAATTTGCAACCCTTTTTTGAAATTCCCGAACATTGTCATGAATATTTCTAAAAAAATTATATTTTTCAATTAAAATTTTAAATCCATTTTTGATTGCCTTTTTTTCTAAGCGAACACAAAAAAAATCTGAGTAAGCGGAGAATGGAGTTGAGCTGAGCTGAGCGAGTGAGATTTTCGTTGGCCGGTCCATGTGAGTTATAGGAGCACTTCCATGGAATAAGAGCTTCCAACTGGCTCACGATAATCACCACCGGCCGACTCGGAAGCAGAAACATGCAAGGACATTACAACATGCACCGAACAAGTTAACTCTTCTCTAAACAAATACTGCTTCTTCTAGGCTTGAAAAATTCATCTCCAACAACAGCCCAACACGATATACAAATTAATGAGGAAAAACACCGCCATAGCATAACTAAAACCAAAATGATGCAACCGACTGCAATAACTTGTTTGGAAGAAAGAGTCAATCAATTATGTAATTATCCCCTTCCCGTGAGTGAAGAACAGTGCGGCAGCGCACGTTAGCCTCTAGTTTGTTTTGTACCAAAGCGTGTTTGATTAAGCAATGGAAAAGTAAAAGAATTCTTTGCAAGATGTTTGAGTGGATTTTTCTTCTTCTCTAAATGTAGTGCAATGAACTTCTTGGGGAAGATTAACTTGCAAATCAAACAATAAACATAGGAAAAATTCCAAAAGATTAGATCGTCCAAAATTTGTGGAAATTCAAAGAGGGCCCTGAAATAATATCGTACACCTGGCAAAAAATCACTGAGTAGTTTAGTACATTATACTTTATTAGGAATAACGGAACAGTGTTCGAACATTGATGCTCACGTCCAGCACCTGTGGAAGCTATATACACAAAACCTAGCTAGCGTCGTGCTCGCGTGATCCATCCGCAGAGTTGGAGCAGTTGGCTTCACTCCGAGCCACCGGCCGGCCGCCGGCAGAAGTCCTCGAAGTCCTGGACCGCCTGCCACTGCGCCGGAGCCAGCGACACCCTGGGCCGGCACCTCTCCACGTGTGCTTTCGCCTCCTCCGCCGTCATCCCCTTGTACCTCACCAGGTAGCACATCACCACCGTGGCGCTGCGCGCGCGCCCGGCCTTGCAGTGCACGTACGCCGATTCCCCTTTCTCCGCGACGCCGCGGATGAACGCCGTGGCTTCGCGGAGGTCCTTCTGCGACGGCGCGTAGAGGTAGTCCGTGGTTGGCAGCACCAGGTTCTCGATCTTGTGTTTAACGTACAGTGACTTGGGCACGAGCCGCTCGTAGGGCTCGGTGAGCGTGACGACGGCGCGGACGCCGTCGGCGTGGAGGGCCGGCACGTCGCTCGGGAACGGGACGGCGCCGAGCAGGATGTTGGTGCCGTCGATGCGGTCCCACCAGTGGAAGTCGGACGAGAGGCGGTCCCGGGCCAGGCTGTAGGCGAGCGTCGGGTAGAAGAGCGCCCGCGCGCCCACGCCCACCGCCGCGTGCTTGGCCGCGTCTAGAGTCGTCGCCAATGACGATGACGATGACGACGACTCCTCCGAGGCTTTGCCCCGAGCCGGCCGGCCGGCCACCAGCTTGTAGGCCAGCTTCGGGTAGAAGAGCACCCGCGCGCCCACTCCCACCGCCGCCCGCTTCGCCGCGTCCAGAGCCGTCGCCGACAATGACTCTGCCGAGGCTTTCTCGTCCGCGAACCTAGCGCTGCCGTCGTCGTCGTCCAAGAAGAAGTGCCCGCGAAGGAGCTGCAGCTCCACTCCGTCGGGGTTATCGACGTGCCCGTGAAGGTGCTGCAGCCCCACTCCGGCGGGGCCGAACGTGTGCTCGTCGGAGCGCATCTCTGATCGTGACGAAGTGTTCGTCGAAGTCGATGTCTCGATGCAATCCGCTGCGGTCGATCGGAACCCTCGGAAAATCTGCTCCACGGGATCAATATAAGGCACGTAACTTGTATCCCGTTTAATCTCCGAGACCTGCTCCTGCACGTCTTCGTATCTGTAATGGACTGTATCAAAGCGATCTGTCCCAACGTGTAAACCATGGCAAAGTTTTTTTTTTATGAAACAGTTAATCGTCACGCGCATACAGGGGCAACAAAAAAGACGTCGCGTGCTCATCTACCACACGATCTTTTTTTTTAAAAACGGAAGTTGAAGAGAGCCCGACTTTGAATTAACAAAACCATCAACGGTCAGAATTACATCGAACAAATATAGGAGGGGGTCGGTCTGGGGTGGGGCCTCGGAGTGGTGCTCGTTGCGGTGGCTGGAGCGGCTGGCTTCGCGCGAGCCGCTCATCTCTTCGGAGATGGGTGAGCGTGGCTCTTTGGATCTGGGGCGGCGGCCCTTCCGGCGAGACTTCTTTGGCTTGAGCGGTGCTTGTTGGTGCTGGCCGTTCTTCCTCGGCCGCGGGGGCGGCGAGGCGGCGGCTGGTGGCGGCTATGGTGCGGGCATCTCGGCGGCGCCCGATCCAGATCTGAAGGCCTCCATCTACTTCAACCAGGGCTGCCTTCGATGGTCCTGCTTTGGGCGGCCTTTGTCGCCGGAGTTGTACCTGTTTGGGGGCTGGAGGTGGGAGGTGGTTCCAGAGAAATCCGAGGCTAGCAGTGCTGGTCACGACGGCGGCGACGCCCGAGGGTGCCGAACCCTTCTTGTAGGCGCCGTCCAGGTTGCCTCCTTCCCCTCTTCCTTCCACCCAGCTCGTATGCCGGACGAAAGCCCAAATCCTTGCTGGATCAAGCGACAGCGGTGCTTCGGGCGTCGTCACCTTCTTGGGGGTGTCGTTCGTGGTGAGCTTGGGGTGGATGTGATGCTTTGTTTACTTGGCGGCGGATTGGTCTTCAGCAGCCCTGCCGGTCTCGGAGGAGCGGTGCTTCATCCTACTCATTGATGGCGGCGTATCTCGGCGGCGTGGCGCAGTGGAAATTCGGCGTCCGATGTGTGGCGATGGACTCGCGCAGGAGGACGAAGCTGTCTGGTGTCGTGGTGACGTCGATGGCTGAGTGGCCAGACAAGGTAGAAGCCTCAATTTGATCTGAAGACGGACCTGTGGAAGATGGCGGCGATGACACACGAGTGCGTCTGACCTGATTGTGCCCCAGACCGGGTATGTGGCTCGGCTGGGGCTTCCGAATGTGTTTTGGCTTCCGGCTTTTGATGTTAGGCTTAGGTGATTGGTCTGGGTAGTGGCCCAACTAGCACCCCTTCATCATTTTGGATAGGAATAGCGGCATATGTTGCCAAGATGATGGATTCAGGCACATTGTTGTAATACTTTGTAAGGTCCTTGAGAATAATCAATAAAGTGGCTGTATGCATCTCCCGGATGCAGAGGCCGGGGGTCATCCTCCTTTTCTAAAAAAGGGAAAAAAGAAACAACAACAAGATACATGGTGATGTGTAAATAGCTATTAGGCTACTACTCCCTCCGTCCGAAAATACTTGTCATCAAAATGGATAAAAAGAGAGTACAAATTACTAGCAAAGATATGGAAAATAAAGCACAAATGCAGCTAGAAGTCGGAGAAGCCCTCCGTAGCGAGCAGAGCATCACGTAGGACACAAGCAAAAGCTTGGGGAAGAAACATTCAGTACCTTGTCGAGCGCCGTTGTTACCT